GAGGACTCCACCAATAACTGAAAATAAACAGCCACCGCACCAAAGTGATTAAAAGTTGGCTCCATCTTTTTATGATCACATGGCTTGTACTTGCAAAGGACAACAAGCCCAATAAGCAAAGAAGGCTTCATGCTTTTCTAATTAAATAACTTGTACTGGAAAAGAACAAGCAGCAGAAGCTCACTGAGGTAAAGACAGCTAATAGACCAGAGCACCGCAGTGGATGACTAGTGCTGAACATTAGAAACCTAATCGTGTACTGGTTCAATATACCACCGAAAAATTTTCTCTAAACAATCAAATACATGAGCACTCATTACATTTCAGCATGTGATGATCTCAACCATACAGTCTCAGGACAATGATGAAACAAAACAAATTTAAGTGGCAAACGTCCGGACATGCAGTACTTTGATGATTATCATACATGCGCAAACAAAAATGTTTTTAAACTCGTATATATTACATGACCAGGAAATAATGTACATAGAAAAGCTGTCTGAACTAGAAAAAGTTAGATTTAAAATAGTGATGCATCGTGATCAAAGCACAAATAGGAACAAAAGAAGATCAGTATTTACAGCCTGCTTAAGAGAATAAATAATGAGAACTTACAAAGCCCAATTTCCCCAAGGCTCTACCCGTAAGAATCGAAGTAGGCTGTATAGATCTTCAAGATTGTTCTGCCAGATTAACACTAGTAAGAATACATTCAATCCAAGAAAATTTACATCAAGCCAATATAATAAATGCCAATCTTGGATCAAAGAACAAAATCACAGCGCCAGTGATAACATATGAATGCAACAATGAGCATAAACATGAGATACAATTAGAACAGGACATGGTTTACGGTTTACCAAGCAGCAATAAATTCAGAATAAGAAGGCATTGAGTTATTTATCGGTAATAAAAACCAATATATTTGTAATAACAGCAAGTATTACAATTCACAATGCCTAATTCCAGACATAGAGACTTAATAAAAGAATTTGGAGAAAACTATGTGATAGGAAACAGTTGAAAATTTCAAGTAAATCCTATCAATTTCAGAAAAACAGCGAGAAAACTCTTCCAAACTCCAATGAAAAAAAAAAACAATAGTTTTTATTGCAATAATCAAAGATACATAAGGAAAATACCAAGATATAGTCGATACTCAATTCGATAGGAGCATCTATCTCTATCAAATCTCTAGATACTGCTAGAGCCCAAAAGAACCTAAGAGATCTCAAATTTCAACCAAATTCAAGATGCCCTAACCCTAGGAAAACAAATTATTTAATGCATACAATTCAAAAGTAAATCTCTAAATAGTCCCTACATTCAATTTCCCTCAAACTTTTTCAAAAAACCTTCCAAAACAGCTCTGTTGGCTCCTGCATTTGGATCGATATACAGTAGAGGCGAAAGAACTTGGCCTCTGTTTCGCACAGGCTAGTCCCGTAGGTCCAGTTTAACAATACTCCCCTCCCAAAGTGTCACCCTTGTCCTTAAGGTGGAACGAAGAAAACTGTTGCTAAAGAACTTGATAAATAACACTGGACTGAAAATAGACTGATACTAGGTTGAATGATCTCTACTTCCAATATCTCCCTAATCAATCTTTCAATCTCATCCTTCTGGATTTGGGAATGACGATACGGATGAATACTGAGAGGTGAAACTACTTCCTTCAAGATGATAGCATGCTCGTGTTCTCGTGGAGGCAATCCCTGAGGCAACTGAAAACCCTCACTGAACAGCTAAATCAATGATTGTACTAAAAAGGTATGTCCCCGCCGTCCTCCAATTTGATTCCCTCCAGCCTATGTAGTTCCATTTGATAACCTTCCCCCACCTCCTCTATGCTACTCGCCTTGGTTTTAAGTGATATCATGACTTTGGTGAGCCCTGCATCTCCCTTGATCACTACCCTCTTCTCTTCCACCGTCAGCTCCGTCATCAATGCTCCCCAGTTGACCTTGGTGTCCCCCAAGGTTCACAGCCACTATATCCCTAGGAGTGTCAATATTTAACACGACACAAAAACCCGACTCAAACCTAACCCAGTTTTGAAATGGGTCGAATTCCTAGATTTGACCCGTTTGAAAACATGGGTCGAGTTCGGGTTGACCCGTCGAGTTTTCGGGTCAACCTGAAACCCCGTTTGAAATGAGCTGACTGCGCTGCCCGAGACTGACAGCGTTGCCCATGTATTTCAGCGGCCGCCCGCGGCCGCCCAAGGCTACTTGCGAGCGCCGGAGGCTGCCCGCGCCTACCAACGACTGCCCGCGCCAGTCCGAGCGCTCTCGCACTAGTACATGCGCACTCGCATCCACACCTGCCCGTTGCCGACCGTCGCCGTCCAAGTCAACCCGCCAAAATGATGAGTCGGATCCGGGTCTGAATTTCTGACCCGTTTATATAACCAGGTCGGGTTAGGGTCGACCCGTTTCCTCTCTCTCTCTCTCTCTCTCTCTCTCTCTCTCTCCCTCCCTCCTCCCTCAATTTCCTCATCATCACAGACAATTAGAACATGAAGAGTCTGATCCCTACACTTATGCCATGGAGTATACTTCTCATCACATTTGAAAGATAGTCCCTTTTCTCTCTTCTCCTGCATTCGTCAGTCTTTTGAAGTTTCCCCCGCTTCCTCCTGTTGGATTCTCCCTGAGAGTCTCATTAATGTTGTCTAATACAGGCCGCTTGGGTGCTAGAAGGGTGGTTGTCATCATGTAAGAGCAGCCTAAATTGCTGCCTCTAGCTCCCCTCTCTTGGTACTTCTGATTCTCCACTAATTGTGCCAGCTCCATAGCCTCTCAAGTCAAGAGACCTCATCCTCACTACTGCTTGAATCTCTGATTTGAGCCCCTTCATAAAATTTCTCTCCAAAACAATCTCTGATAGTCGATCCAAACGACTTGTCAGGTACTCAAATTTCTCCCGATAATTTGTCACTGAACCTTCATGCACTGGTGCAAAGAACTGCTCATAGCAATCCCCACCCCTGCTGATTAAAAAAGGTTCCAATAAGCATTCCTTGAACTCCCTCCAACTCTGTATGGGCCTCCTCATATCTCTCCATTGGTACCAAGACAACGCTTTTCCTTCCAAACATAAGCTAGCGGCTGTCAATTTTTGCTCCTATGTCAATCCATTGACAGTGAGATATATCTCCATCTTGTAGATCCACCCATGTGCATCACCCCCTTCAAAAATAGACATCTTCAGCTTCTGCACAGTCGGATCACCCCCGTTTCCCCGGATTCCACCATAATTTTCCCTTTCCCAAGTGTTTGGCCCTCCCCAAGTCTCCTGATCTTCCCTCCTACGTTCATACACAAACCTCTCTTCGCTTGTTCGCCTCTTTTCTTCAAAATCAACACCCTTTCTTCCACATTCCCCTTCTTTTCTTCCCCAAACAACACCCCTTGAATCAGGCAACTCATACAAATGCCTCCCTGCATACCTTCCACCTCTTTCCTCCATAATTTCGACCTCATCGTCCCTCCTATAAAAATCAAAATTCGTAGTTCTTCTCATGGGTCCCTTTGCTTCCGATGCCGCTGTTTCTATTTAATTTTCCAACAACTTCTTCCCCATCGCTTGAAGAACGAAAACATTGTCTTCTACGGAGGAGATTCGATCTTCCACCATGGCTTTGTTTGACTCAACTCCCCTTCAAAGCGTTCCTCCAAAGCATTTATCTTTTTGGCCGCTATAAAAAATTTTGGATACTAATTCAAAATTCAGCAAGAAATCGTCCTCCGATCACAAAAACAGCTGTTGAAATTTCAGAAAACCAGCCCACAATGGTCCCAAAATTTGCTCTGATACTAATTTGATAGGAAACACTTGAAAATTTTAGCCAAATTCAAAATGCCCTAACCCTAGGAAAACAAACTATTTAATGCATACAATTCAAAAGAAAATCTCTAAACAATCCCTACATTCAATTTCCTTCCTAAACTTTCTCAAAAAACCTTCCAAAACAGCTTTGTTGGCTCCTACATTCGGATCAGCATAAACTAGAGGCGGAAGAGCTTCGCCTCTGTTTCGCACGGGCCGGTCTTGTAGGACCGGTTAGACCGGTCCATTGGTCTAACACTATGTTGTTGCTGAATGAGAGGGCTGAAAAAGAGGTGGAAAAAAACTTACATTAATAATACATGTTTGCAAAAAACAAGTGGAAAGATTTGAAGAAAAAAGACATTGGAAAAGGTTATAGGCTATCACATATTGGAAAGAATAGAAATAAGAATCAATGCTATTGGCCTCTCTTTAGAATGGCGTCCACCCTTAATAAGAGATCTTAAAGGGAAAAATATTGAGATGAATAGCTAAATAAGGATAATAAGAATACATCTTATACAGCTGAAGTTGTTCCAGAAGAAAATTTTAAAACCAAAATCAACTTCGTGATGAATGAATGAACTATCAGAATGCATCAATAATTATGAACAAGGATATGTAGGTTGTAATAGAATGGGTGTGAGGAGATTAATTGTGAATATGGAGTAAGAGATAAAAATGGCATGGGAGATGCTTCACTTGATTAAGGAGTATATATCTTGACATGATTACACATAGGGTAAATATCCTGTAGTTCCCTGACATTTGAACCGTGCTTCAAATAGGTCCATGTTTTTGAAAATCCCCCACTTTGGTCCTCCTTGACGCCTCTTGAGATTTCATATGATCCCCAAATTTGGTTTCAAATTCTCACATAAGTTAATTTTTGCCTATGCATTAGATATTCTCATTTAGTTAATGTGAATTTTTTTCTTTAATTTGAATGAAATTATTTGCTTATAACCAAAATACACTCATCCTCAAAATCTTTCTCATGTTCTAGGGTTAGGTCATTCTTTGACGATCCATCCTACATCAGTCACTAGACAATGAAGTTACAAAGAGCCCTCTCAATCTCAAAATTAAATTATTTGGAGTTGAGACCATGGCATTCTTTTAAATTCCTAAAACAAATATTTAACATTAACCAAAATTCTACCTTTCTTTTTAAAGAGGTCCAAATTAGGACAACAAAAATTCAAACCCAATAATACAACAACAAACCTTTATCCAAATACGTGGAGTCGGTTACATAAATCCTTTTTTCTTCATTGTGCTATTCACATTTAAATCTAATAAAAAGTCACTCTTAATACTATCAAAATAGCACAAATCAACTCATAAATTTGTATTCAAAACCATATTATTGGAATAAAGCTGACAATAATGATGATTATTGTTTCACAATGTTCAATTTGAGTTGGATTTGACTGATTTTATCCAAAGTGGAATTCTTTAGTTACACCATTTCCATAATAAAACTAATCTAAATTGCCTTTTTTAAATTAGATTTCAAATTTTGTTAAATTTAAGTATTACATAGACGATTGACTTTACCTCAGAGATAGAATGTAAACTAAGTATATACGTAAAAAGTCCGGAGTAGATACAGTGGCATATAAGATTAGAGAGAATCACTTTAGATGGTTTGATCACATAAATGTTAGCCTTCCGATGATGCAGTTAGGAGAGTAGATGTATTAGATCCTCCTTATGTTAAGAAACATAGAGGTAGATGTAAGTGATTTCCATATCAGAAAGAGCTTATGCATGTAGGGCTTTAGGGACATAAATCCCTCCCAAAACCAAATTTTAGGCTACTCATTGCTACAATTCTCTTTAAAATATT